ACCCTACTGATTTGAATTTGTGATCATTTGAGCATGTTGTCTTGACCTATGCCTACGTGTTCTTGTTGCTAGGTGCTGTCCAATTGGTTCCGACTCATAGTGACCCTATGTACAACAGAACGAAACACCAAATGGTCCTGAGCCATCCTCACAATTGTTGCTATGTTTGAACCCATTGTTGTAGCTGCTGTGTCTTTTCAGCTCGTTGAGGGTCTTCCTCTTTTTCATTGACCCTTTACTTTACCAAGCATAATATCCTTCTCCAGGGACTGGTCCTTCTGATAACATGCCCAAACTATATGAGATGAAGAATCACCATCCTTGCTTCTGAAGAGCATTCTGGCTATACTTCTTCTAAGACATTTGTTCGTTCTTCTGCCAGTCCATGGTATATTCAATATACTTCACCAACACCATGATTCAAATGCATCAATTCTTCTTCAGTCTTCCTTATTTATTGTCCAGTTTTCTCACGTATATGAAACGATTAAAAATACCATGGCTTGGGTCAGACACACGTTAGTCCTCAAAGTGGAATCTTTGCTTTTTAACACTTTAAAGACATCTTTTGCAGAATATTTGCCCAATGCAATACATCATTTGATGCCTACATGCTAGCCATTAAAAAAGGATTTGCTGAGCAGACTGTTGGGTCAGATTTGGAGTCCCTGGGTGGTGCAAACAGTTAATGTGCTCGTCTGCTGACTAAAAGTTTGGAGGTTGTAGTCCATCCAGAGGTGCCTTAGAAAAAAGACCCATCAATCTTCTTCTGAAAAATCAGCAGTTGAAAACCCTGTGGAGCATAGTTCTACTCTGACATGCATTGGGGTCACCACAAATTCGACAGCAACTGGTTACTGGTTTTTAAGACAGATTAAATTTAAGAGAATATTTGAAATATATAATTGATATTATATAAAGGCAGACATTTGCTATAAAAAAATGTGTATCTTTGTCATTATTTTTGGTGTACTAAAACAGAATCAAGGGCATCAACTTGGAAGACATATACAGACAATAGCTTGTTATCCTTCTTGGGGGTTACTGTATGAATTTTAATATAAAAGAAATGTGATTCTTTCAGAAAGTATCCATAATTCTGATTTTCTATTTATTTGTTTATCTAGCCTGGCCTTTTTCTCTATTAGTCAAATAAGTTACATTTGGGCAATGCTATCTTTTTTTCTTCCATGGAAGGTTCAGCAATTTCAGAGTATAATTGTTTTAAATTGGGAAAATTCAATTTTCTCTAATGTTTTAACATTTAACTCAGCTTTTGAATGCATGTGTTTTCTTGCATTACCCAAAACATTTGGAAAATGAACTCATCTCAACTCATCTCCTTCCCATCCCCAGCCCCACCCCACAGCCCCCACCCGGTTACTTGCCTAATTTCCTTACTTGAGTTAATGCTAATACCATTCTCCTAGTCATTAAGAATCTCAGAGTCATTTGGACTCCTTCTTGTTTCTTCTTTGATGTCTTGCCATCCTGATTTGCCCTCTGTTCCTTTGCCACTTCCTATGAAATTTTCCTTCAGCATCTCTCTCGAAGCTGCCCTTTTCTTCCGGTCTTCCCTGAAACGACCTAGTTCAGGACGGTATTACATCAAATCTGGGTCATTGCCAGAGCTTCCAAATTGGTTTTCCGACCTCAAGGCTTTCTGCTCATTCTAAATCATCTTGAATTTTTTCCTAGATTAATCTTCTTGAAGTACAAATGATCATTTCATCTCCCTGATCAAAAACTGTCAGGGGACCTCCACCAGCCACTGATAAAATTCAAGCCAGCACTTTAACCGGGCCATCAGGACTCTTTTGTGCCAGGGTCCAGCACCTTCTCTCTCTGCTTTGATGCACATGCCACACTGTTCTCTTCACAACCCTCCCTTTACATGTTCTTGCTTCTTTGCTTTTATTCGAGCAGTTTTCTGCACTTGGCATATCCCCATCTCCACCCTTGAAGTTCCACCTACTGAAAGCCTCATCGCTGAGCCCAAGTGCTGTCTTCTCCTGAACGTTGCAGCCAGGAGAGCACTCCTCCTCTGCTGAGTGCCTCCTGCACCCATTGCTCTTAGCACTCGTACAGTGTAGGATATTGTTTTCATCGTAATCATTCCTGTGTTGTCATTTGCCTACTTCATTGTCAGCTCCTTGGGGGTTCAGCTCTGTCTCTCTGACAACATCTAGAATAGGGCCTTGTACTTAGTAAATGGAGTCTAACCAGAGGCTTCTGGAAAAAAGGCCTGGTGCTCTACTTTCAAAAAATGAACATTGAAAGTCCCATGGAGCACAGTTCTACTCTGACACACATGGGGTCTCCATGAGTTGGAGATGGCTCAACGGCCACTGGTTTGGTTTGCTTAGTAATTAGATAACTTCTGTTGAGTTGGGTGTGTGTCGTAATGTAAACCCAGAAAGGGAAAAGAAATCAGATAAACTTACAGAAATGTTTTAATCTTTTCAGCAAAACCCAAAATCACTTACGTAGAGAACCAGACTGCCATGGAGCTGGAGGAACAGGTTACTCTTACCTGTGAAGCCTCGGGAGACCCCATTCCCTCTATCACCTGGAGAACTTCTACCCGGAACATCAGCAGTGAAGAGAAGGTATAATGTCACCTAAGAGTTTCAGGGCCAAGCAATACAGACATGACACAGTTTGGGTCTGCCCCGTGCCCGGTCATCTTTGGTGAGCCAGAAGACGCGGTGTGGCCACCAAAGACCACAGCCTAGTCCTGTGGCCTCTTTCCCCCAGCCTTTCCAGACGTGGCCTGCTTAACATTCCCTTGCAATGGAAAGGGCACAATTCCTTGCATAGATTTTCAGGAGTGTGATGTTAGTGGGCACGATCAAGTTAGGCGTTCTGGGGAGGAAGGGAAGAGTGATTTTCAATCTCAGGGTTATGGAGCTGAGAAGAGCAAGGAGAAGCCAAGATCCTGGTGCTCCGGTGATATTATCATCTCAGGAGCACCCAAGGAAATGTCTCCCGGAAATAATAGGAATAAAAGAAGCCTATTAATTCTTTTCCTTATGTTCTGTATACTCATGCTATACATGCACTATACACACAAAAGCTTGGTTGCCTTTGTGTCTGCCTGTATTCTTGCTCACATATGAATATCATTTTGTTCTAAAGGCAAAAATAATTAGCAGTTTTTAAGTGATGATTGTTACACCCAAGTTCTGCAACATATTCACTGAGGGTTTAAGAACATGGTAGCAACCTTCCTGGTACATAAAATGACTGGGAAGATTTAGCGTTAAAGCACATGGATTTATAGGCCACTGGAAAGCTGTCATTATTATTGACAATGAATAAAAGTGAGGTGACCAACACATTATGCAGCCCTTTTGTTACTGAGTGGGTCAAAAGCTGGAGGAGGAAGAAGCTTGGTTTTAAACCAGCTTAAACCCTCTTATGGCACTTCTCCAACCTCATCTCATATATCTTGTAGTAATGGGCTTCATTGTAGTTGGCCAAAGCTTTGTCACCTATTCAGGAGTAATGGCCTTAGCCTTCAAGAACAGTTATAATGGATTACTTATTGACCAGAATGTCAGAAATGATACATCTTCACTCTTTTTCCTGCCTAAAGGAAATCCCTAGAGAAGGTAAACTCAAACCAAGCCAAAAAGGGATAGTGTGAGATACCAGAACCAAATTTGGGATCTGCACTTGAGCAACTGACTTCTGTCCTGCTACTGGAAGCAAACCAAATCACAGGGAACAGAAACAGTTGTTCTAAATAACTTGTTATCAATTTTTGCAAGTTTTACCTCCAGAGTTGAATTCAGCTTAACAAAAAATCCAACTGAGGAACTGCTAAGTATTTTTGAAACTCACATATGCTGTTTGATATTGTGGAAATCAGCTCTATTAAGAAATGTGGTGTTTACTTGGATAATTGCTTTATCAACTTTGGAATTAAAGCCTCAGCTAGGATTTCAGCTCCCATTGTATGTGTTGTATGGATTGAATGTACATTTCAGGGCTTAAATCATAGGGCCTGTGGCTTGGCGGGTCTTTCTACATCAGGCTTGGGAGTAGATTTGTCCAGAATGACCAAGTTAGTGTATATCTTTACCCTACAGTGAAGGACAGAAATAATACCTATCTCAGATGAATGACACTTTTAAATTCTGTATCTTCTCTAGGAATAGCTCAATAGCCAAGCTAGACCAGAAAGGTTATTTAAGATTTGTGCCTACTTCAGGTTTTGTATTTGGCACTTCTGGCTTATACCCATGAATTCATTTTTACAGAATGAGAACAAATAACCAGGCATTAATACACACTCAAGTGTCCCTGGGTGGCACAAATGGTTGAGGACTCGATTATTAGCCAAAAGGTTGGTAATTCCAACCCACCCAGAGTCACCTCAGAAGACAGGCCTGGCAATCTGCTTCCGAAAGGTCACAGCCTTGAAAACCCTATGGAGCAGTTCTACTCTGCACATGTGGGGTCGCCGTGAGTCAGAATAGATTCAGTAGCAACTAACAACAACATTGTACACTCATACTTACTAAATAGTGTAAGACTCAAGGTCTAGCAGAAACCATCTCAAGCAGAGTAGGGACTCTTTTTTTTTTTTTTTTTGGTATAATTCAGCTATCAGTGTAGATGGTCTGTTTTAATCTGAGATAATTTTTTAAACCCAGCCACATCGATTGTACCGTGGATTCTTTTAACTAACAACTGTCATTAAATTTACTTGAAGTGACATTATTGGGACATGAGCGAATTGGTGTTAGAACAAGTCCTCTAAGTCAGCCAGTGACGTGACACTAGATTGTTAACATATTTGCCTAGACGAAACCCTATATAAGAAAAGTTGTCATTTCCGTTAATTATATATTGACTTCAAAGAGGCATGATGGCTGTCTTATACCGTGGATAGCTAATAATTAAGAAAACAAATATGGCCCATTTGTGAGCAAATTGGACTCTAGATAATAAATTCCACTTTTTCTTTGGCAGCTTCTCCCCATGTTGGAGCCATCTAAAGCTGCATTATACATATAATTAGGCACCAAGATTACTAAAGTCACTAAATTGTAGGAGTAGAAGAAAGTAGTTTTCTTTTTAAAATCACGATGATATGCTAAGCAGATTAGACTAGACAATTTTATCTAATTGGTAAGGTAAAGAAGCCTCCTGGGAATTGGATCACACAAAATGCTGGAATCATAAAAGGGTGGAAGACACCTTGGCAGTTCTCTCATCTCACCTGGCAACCCTTTCTAGAATTCCTGCCAGAAGGTCACTCAGTCCTGCCTAAGAGTGATGGTATTGGTCCTTCATAGTGCAGTCAGCCAGCAGTGATGATCAGAAAAGTCTCCTTCCTTACCCCTTCCATTTCTCAGGTCCTTCCCACCTCTGCCCATCAGTACTTTGTACGAGAGCTATGAAATTTGAAAGTAGCTATTAGATTCTCTAGCAATGATTGTGAGGATGGTGCAGAACTGGGCAGTGTTTCATTCTGTTTACACGGGGTGGCTATGAGTCAGAACTGACTCGACAGCACCTAACAACAGCAACAGATTAGCTTCTCCACCATTCTCCCCTTTAACACACCCAGTTCCTTTTGCTGTTTCCTATGTGTCATGGTTTCTACTAGACAGCGTCAGTTCCACCAGTGCTCCCCTAAAATTTTGTGGTGCCAAGAAGTCCAGACACAGTCTAACTAATGCACACATCAGTGGGGTTATTGTGTCCTTTGATCTGGACACTGTAATATAGTTAAAATTGCATTAGCCCATTAACAGTTTCCCCAGTCTGTTGCCTCATGTTAAGCTTGTGGTCAGCTAAGATGATCGGGTCTTTTTCACATGAACTTCATTTAAGCCACATATTCCTATCCCGTTCTTATGCAATTGATATCATAACCAATAATTCAGAATTTTATATTTACTTCTGTTAAAATTTTTATCTTGGTTGTTGCAGCCTAGTGTCTCTCAATGGAGTCACTGTTGCAATTTGGGATGAATCTTCCTTGTGTGGGAATGTCCTATGCATTGCAGGATATTTAGTATCAACTGGCTCCTTTCCTATCAAATGCCAGTAGCCACCTCCAATCATTGTGATTACCAAAAATACCAGATTTACAAACAGCCCCTGGGTTGGAACCACTGTTTTAACCCATCTTTCTAACCATTCGGGACTGGCTTTCGTCAGAACTGTCTTTTGTCCCTCAGAAGTCTTTGTCCAGGGCATTTCAACCCATATGGGTCCCCCTGCTTCATTTATGTATATTAAGTCCATGACAACCCCAACCCCAAGCACAAGACCCAAAGGCAGGCAACCAGGTAGCCTTCCCATTGCATCTGTCATCTAACATTTGTATTAGCTGTTACTTCCAACCTCGTATGAATACTTATTCAAAATATCTTTGTCCAGGTCACTGACAAAACTGTTGACTGGGACAAAGTCAAGTACAGAGCCCTTGGAATGCCACAGGCCTTCCCTCTGGGTCCGTGTCTCAGAGGGTGAAGCATCTGATGCCACAGTGCTCACTGATGATTTGATGACTTTTGTAGAAGGCTCAATGATTCCTTTTATAAAGTTAGTTACAATATAAGCTAATTAAAGCAGCTCTGTCTTTTGCTTCACTGCTTAGTTGGGTCTAGTATTATGCTCCTTAAAAGAAGAGAGAAGAAAAGCCTTTCAACCATAGACACATACTTAGTGACTTCCTAATGGAATGCCAGATATTCTTCTTCATTTAAAAAAATAGAAGAAAAAGAGAAGCAAACAAAAAAACAGTACAATGAGCCTGAATGTAACACCATATCTTTGATCATATCTCTGAGTTGAGTCCAGTTACTTACGATTGATTATTATCAATCTGTTCAGTAAGCTTCAGCTAGTTGGGTTGATTCGGCTCAACCACTGGTAATAACTAGACTAAGTCAAATCATTGGTATCCTTGAGATCATTAGGGTAGATCAGTTGTCTGAAAGTCAGTCCATTAAGTTGTAGTCACTATTATGTTGACAAAAAAAATTTGCTGTCATAATGAGTCAGTTTGATCATGCATGTGGAGGTCACTGTGATACTGCAGATCTGTACAACATCTGTACATCCACACCATATTCATTACTCATCTTACCCCAATTCATTTTAAATATTGCCAGGTGTTGAGTGGGTGGTGGTAAATTCTAGGTAGCATTTACCTATTGAACGAGACTCACGGATCAAAGACTCCTGATGGTCTGTACACTCTATCCCTGGAAGAGCAAAACCACTGTGTGCTTATTTGACCATCTCAGTGTCTTTGAAATGACTGGTAAAAAAAGGCACACGAAGCCTTAATAATTACTGAAAAGGAGAGGAGTGAAGAGTTGAGATCAGAAGAGACAGACAATGAAAAGCATTTCAAGAAACTTGAACGTGGGTTGACCAGGTATCTAATAAATAAAACTTCTGAAAGCCTGAATTTTCTAGGAACTGGGGCCTTCTTTTCACCAGGAGAAGTCCTTAATTCACTACAAACCCAGTCCCCACTTTTAAACATTGGAAAAACTGACTGGTTGAGGAATCAGAGCCTGGTTTGCCCACAGGAAGTAGGCACATGTATAACTGGGAATGCTTAGGATAAGCCTAGGGATACTCAAGTTTATATACACACGTCCCTGCAGACTTGTATGTTAGACAGTAAAATGTGTTAACATTTAAAGAACCCAGAACTGATTCTTTTTGGAGCATTACTGATCATGCTCTAGTTTATTTTATGTGTGTATACTTGCATATCAGATTAAAGTAGGCCACACCTTCACCAAGTTATCACGGCCAAGCACACACACGGGTTGGTGGTCAGGCTGCTAGAAGCATTGTGATTACTACTAGAACCACTTATTCTAAAAGCCACAAAAATCAGAGGACAGAAGCAATGGGAGAGACAGAAGGAGTATCAAATTTGAAAAACAAACAACTGCATATGATATAGACCCTCAAAAAAAGATCTTGCTGAATCCAGCCCTGGCATGTGACAGACAAGCTTCTAAGTGATGTGGAATTGGCACCCACATTCGACATGTTGGCCCACTGTTACTTGGTCTTTACATGTTCCTCTGGTCTCACATTCTTCTTCATTCCAACATCCTGTGACGTAACACAACATTTTCATCCTCATTTCGTATAAAAGTGCCTTGCTTTTAGTGAACTCTTAATAAATGTTTGCCAGCTCATTAACATTCCCCGGATTGCATCGCTGTGTTTCTAGCATCTTTTCTATCCTTTTTCCATCTGAACATCAGGGACAATCAGGCAGTCATGCCACCTAATAAAAAGAACCATGCAGGTATGATGTTTCTGACTCCCAATATGAAAACAGAAAAACTGTAAGCAAAGGAGATCACCAAGTTTCAGATAAATAAACAATGTAGATGTGAGTAGGCAAATGCCCCAAACCTCTGTGTTTCTGTGTTGACTCACTCCCCTGTGAATGCCATGTTTGTTGAAGATGGTGCCTGCTGGAGTCCGCATGCCATCCGGGCGTTCCTCTGCCTTTAAGAGCTGATGGAAGCCCTGGCCCAGCCCTCAGCATTTGCATCCTCAACTCTTCCAGACCATAGTCCCAAGGACTGCATTCTTCTCATTCCTCGTGTACCTCTCTGCTCCTTGCTTTTTCTTCCTTGTTTAAATTTTTTAAAATTATTTTTAACAGAATGCATGCAAAGCATTATTTAATGCATGAGCATAAAATGGCATTAGTATGTATCTTCGATAAGCTGTGTAATAAAATCGAAAAGAGGAAGCCTACTCTATAAGTATCTCTAGATTATGGGGTTAGAGCTAGTCGTGCTACCCAACCCATGAGGAATATATAAGACATTCTGCAACAGGAGCAGTCTAATTTGTCTGCTAAGACCCCTATATATATCTACCAAAGATATACATCTCAATGGGCATAAGAAAAAAAGTTGAACGTAAGCTGAATCCTAAATTAAATTGGGTAATAAACTCCCCATTGACAGTGGGCCTTGGAAAAAGTTCTGAATTGAAAAGAAGCTGCATGTGCGCGGAATGCAGTGTGATACATCAATTCTCTAAAGCAACATGTTGTAAAATTTTACTGCTTTCTTGTTGTGTTTTATATCTTGTTCTCTCCAGGCTTCGTGGACTCGACCAGAGAAGCAAGAGGTATAGCTTACCTGACCACTAGCCAGTCTTGAGTTTTGAAAACATTGCAGTTTAACTCACCATTGCAGCTTAATAACCAGACATGCTAAACTAATTAGTTCCTTTAGTTAGATTAAAGAATAGGTTAATAGCAGTAGACATTACATAGCAATAGTGTCAGTTTAGGATGAGCAAGCAAGCTGTGTTGGGAGCGGACGAACAAATCCTTATTATTTCCTAAAACTGGATCTTATTCTGTTGCTGGTGCTGGTAAAATCATATCCAGGTAATTATAATTATAGAAGTAAATTACCCTAATTCCCAGCCAGGCGTTTGGAAATGATGAAATTTTTTTTACTCACCTGGTTGATGTGGCTTTAGATCATAAAGTCACAGAGTTAGTGATCTAAAAACCCACTCGGCCCTTTCCTTTCCAGCTCAACTCATCTTCTTGCTTGCTTGTTTGATAATGATTGGTCTTGGAAATCATCACATCACGTTTCATCTCAAAAGCAATGCAAATGACATCTCTCGTTGATTTCCCCAAATTGCTAAACACATCTATGTTACTTTTCTAATGCATTGAATTTATGAGATTAGAATGATTTGGCACAAATGATTTCATGTTTTTCAAAGTTAGTAAAGCCTTTGAAATTTCTCTGACTGCTTGCTTCAGCGTGGGTAATGTGAAACTTAGTTTGAAAACAGATGCTAAATATTAATCTTTAGGCTTTCATTGCTACACCACCAAGGTCCTGCTTATGATCATGCCCATCATATTTTTCCCTGATTTGTGTATTTTAAGTGACATATAGTGAAATAAAAACCAGTATATTTTAAATGAGAATCGAGGGTCAAATCTGTAAATACTGTTAGCTCTTGTCTCTTTTTTCCAGATGGAACTTTGATATTCTAATACTGTAACTGCAGAATATGGAGATCCTAGAGACTCTGTATTTTTAAATAGGTAGATCTATCCTCTTAGTCTTTCAGGATGGATTATTATTCAGAACACGTAACTCATGTGCTCAGGTCATGGATATAAATATTGAATGCTGTTTAATATTTAGAAGTTGACTGCCTTTCCCCAGGCACTGACATTCGTTTCTGCACATGAACACGGTGCCATTGTGGAATCTAGTTCATTATAAGCTCTCTTTGTATCATACCTTCCTTGATGTCATAGGAACTATAGTTAAGTGCACGTCCTCTCTGAAGCGCTTCCCTCCTGTGCCACAAGAATTGCTTAGTGCTGTCACAGGCTGGCTGTTTTATTGCCTGAAAGTCATGGACCCGTTGGGGTTGGGGAAGGGAGAGAAGAAGGGTTAATTATCATCTACTCTTAAGCGGCTACAGATCTCATTTTGTTTGGCCCTGTACATCTTCCCCCTGTCATTCTGATTTAGACCTGGGTAGAAGAGGAGCAGAGATTTATCAGGAAACATTAGGGGATGCTAAGAGAATTATTATTGTAAGTGGAAGTAATAGATTTACTCCCAGGAAAGCAGACGCCTCACTCCGTTTTCCAGAAGTATCCTTATCTTGAGTATCTCACTCTGGACCTAATTGACTTGCAAGTGAGCAATGCCCCTGGGGCTCAGAAGATCCGTTCTCTCCTATTTGTCTCATTCAGAGATGAAGACCCCAGTCCAGGTGAGTTCCAAAGAAGGCTTGTGTTATCGCCAGTTCTATTCTGTAGGCTCTCCAAAGCCTTCGTACTTTTACCTGGAAAGAGGGAGACAAAATGTTTTGACGAGAAGAGTGATTATAATTACCCTTCATACTTTTTTTTAAAAAAAATAAGGTCTTGCTATAATCTTTTCATTCTTGCCCAGAGCACATCTGCTCCCGCTGCCATAGCCTGGACTGTCAGTGTGACTCGTGGTCTGGGTGGCATGTAGGGGGCTCTCCCTGACTTTGTCTTGTTGCCACAGGGAAACATTTCAGAAGGAAATATTCCAGTTTTACTGGAGTCCTTTTGCATCCCCTCAGAGGGAGAACTGAAGGCATCTGGCAAATAATTCCATTGTCAATCTTTTCGTGAGCCACTGCAAAATAAGAATTCTCTGTAGAGGGCTGCCTAATAGTCTGTTGACACCATTCAGTGAGAGACATTTCCACACAGAGAATTTTAGGAAGAGAAGAGATGAGATGGAAGAAAAGAAAAGAATGTACAGCCATCAGTGCACCCATTTCCTGAGCTCCTCTTAAACCACTTTCTAGATTAGTCTGAATCAAGACTTCTCTGTCCCCTGCTTTGTTGTTGTTTGTTCACACCCTACTCTTACCTACATGACTTTCTTTGCCTCTCTTGCTGCCATAGCTTTTCCTTATGGAAATGTTCTCTTGAGTACCTAAAGATTATGGTCAGTTTTCGATTTTTGCACATGGAAGACCCGGACAAGTCCCATCTATGTCACAAAGAATCATAATTCCGTCACTGGCCGGCATCATTGTTGGAATGAACCTGTGTTCTCACAGGATAACCTGAAAGGCCAGAGGGGACTTTGAGTCCCCTCTGCCTTCATTCCTGCTGTGTTTTGGGCAACTAGGAGTGACAGGCAGGTCAGGTCAGCTCATTAGAGATACCTGCAGGGATGACCTCACGCTCTGGATGCGCATAGTTAGACTGATGGGTAAAGATTTTTGCATGGCATATGAAAACCGCCACTGGGATCTATCAACACAGCCCTGCCGGCCGACAAGAAAAGGGGTCCCAGAATCCAGTATTTTCAACACATTGGATATCTCGAGGCTTTCTAACAGAGTGCTGCACACCTATCTTTTGTCATCTCTCATTAATAAGTGGCATTTCATGGGATGCGTCTTCTAAACCTGCCAGCCTCACAAATGCACAGGTCAAATGGGAGCTGAGAGCCACAGGCATCAGAGCATTCATCTCAGAGAGGAGAGGCACTCCCAGCAGCAGGTGGTGATGGTTTTGCTTGGCTTTTCTGTCTTCTTATGCATAGCCGTGTTTTTCCAGCTTCCAGATGTGAAATGTGATGAGGTTTAAGTGACTGAACTGGATTCGATCCATTAGTGACAGTAAAAAAGGACATCTTGCAATAGATCTGTTGAAACTGCTCTGAAAAGCCATTGGTGCCTTGCTTTTGAGCTCCTCAGACTGGCTACTATATAACATTGAACTTCTGGGTTTTGGACTCCCCACCTAGCTTATCCAAAGAACCCAAAGCCAAGTATTCTTTCATTCTTTAAAGGCCCAACCCCATGAGGTGAAAGATGCTGTATCCAGAGCACCCTCCTGCCCGTCTCTACAGAGCATCATGCGCTGGTGATAAGAGGGTGGCCCAGCCCACGAGGAGCAGCACCCTTTCAGATTACCACCTTCTTGAGGATCTGAACTTGGGCCACATGCCCAGACTCTTCCAGGCCCCCTAAACCTTTTACTTAAAGAGTCAAGGGGGTAAAAAAAAAAAAAAAAACCAAGGAAAAAAGCCAAAAGGTCAATAACCAAAGAACCTAACCCTAAACCCCTTTTGCCCAATCATTGTAATTCCAGAGACTTGGGAAGCCAATTATAGGATCTAGGACTGGATAATGGTGGTGACTGTGATGTCAAGGATACCAAATCAGTGTGGGACTCTCTGAACTGCCATTCCTGGGGAGGTGACCCAGTTACCCTCACTCCCATCCCAACAGTCCTTGAGCTGAGTTGTCTGAATTTTTCGAATGGAAAATGCTTGCAGGAAAGAGAGGCAGCTGCAGAAACAGGAGATTCGTGTCTAATTTCTTACATTTGGGTACATTCAAATTTCCCATTACGTGTGCATGCACCCTGGAACTGGCAGATGGGCAGACTGTTGGAAGGAAAGAATAGGGAGTATAGGTTTCCCAGAACCTTACGAGGGAAGGCTGATGCTGCTGAAATATCTGCTGCCCAGGGCTTTGCTTCCATTTTGGACACCCAGACAGAGTCATCTTGGGGGACTTTGCCCATGCTTGCCCAGAACGAACCTTGGCACACAGTTTAGGCTGTTTGACATACATGGAGTCCCTGTTTTGGATACACCCAAGTTCCCACGATGCTCCCTGGAGTTGTCTGCATTAGATGGTACCTAAAGTAAGACTTAGATGTTGGCACAGAGAGGGAGGATGTGAGAACGATCACAAACAGCCCCCACCCTGTCCTCAGCCACTGTCACCCTCTGCTCTGCCTCGGGCTCTGACTCGTCCTCCTTCCCTCCTGGCAGACCCTGGATGGGCACATGGTGGTGCGCAGCCATGCCCGCGTGTCATCCCTGACTCTGAAAAGCATCCAGTATACAGACGCTGGAGAGTACATCTGCACTGCCAGCAACACCATCGGCCAGGATTCCCAGTCCATGTACCTTGAAGTGCAATGTGAGAAGTCACCGAGGGAGGACGCAGGGGAGGAAGGGAGGGCAGTGCAGGATCTGGATGAGAGCAGAAAAGAGCGGCTAGGACCCTGCACTCTGAGCTCTGGCCACATCTCCTGGGTGATTGACCCTAGGTCTTGTCTCCAAGCCCACCCACACACCTTCCCCATGCTCCTTACAAGCCTGCCTGGCCCTGAGCCTGCCCACACAGCTCACGTGCACAGGAACACTGAAACGACACTCACCTCTATCTATACTCAGGCACTAACTCTGCGTTAGGACACACCCTGTCTTCTAGTGCAGGAGACAGGCTATGTGAGGCTCAGTGATCACGGAGGTCACCCTAAGAGTCATTTTCACTTATTGCAGATGCCCCCAAGCTGCAGGGCCCTGTGGCTGTGTATACTTGGGAGGGGAACCAGGTGAACATCACCTGTGAGGTGTTTGCCTATCCCAGTGCCACAATCTCATGGTTCCGAGATGGTCAGCTGCTGCCAAGCTCCAACTACAGCAATATCAAGATCTACAACATGCCCTCAGCCAGCTATCTGGAGGTGAGTGGTGGGGCTGGGGGCAGGTGGAGTAGGTACAGTTGGACTATGGATGGACTCCTGTGTACAGCCAAAACCTTCTCTCTTGCTTCCCTGGCACATACTGGGGAGCCACTAGCTAGAGAAGAAACTGAGCCACATCCCAGAGGCTGCACTGATTCTCTCCTGGAGGGTGGGTCTATCAGTCCCTTTTCTATTCTTCTCTCCTGTGTAAGTCTGGGCTGGAGTCTATGATTCCTGTTTTACTGGTCCAGTACCTGGGTAGCACAAACGGTTACACACTTAGTTACGAACCGAAAGGTTGGAGGTTTGAACCCACCCAGAGGTGTCTCAAAAGAACGGCCTGACAATCTACTTCTAAAATTCAGCCATTGAAAACCCTACAGAACACAGTTCTACTCTGACACTCATAGGGTCGCCATGAGCCAGAATTGACTCTATGGCAACTGGTTATTCTTTACCAAATAAAAGCAATAAAGAAGGATCTAGGTCTATGGGCATCCCATGGGACACTTGTCACCAAGAGCTCCTTCCTTCTAAAGGTGACCCCAGACTCTGAAAATGACTTTGGAAACTACAACTGCACTGCGGTGAACCGCATTGGACAGGAGTCCTTGGAATTCATCCTTGTTCAAGCAGGTGAGTACCCCTTAGAAGGACTTCCACACCACTTTACCCTAGCCAGCCCACTTTGCATGCTATGGTGATGCTAGGACTGTGGGAAGCCATTAGAGGCCTGGAGATCTGGGCATGGGGCGTGTTGGGAGAGAATCCCATGGTGTGGTGGGTCAGGAGGACAGGATTTTCAAGAGAGAGCAGGGATGAGAGAGACTTGCTTCGCAATTGGAAATTTTGGTGTTGGGCCAAATGGGGCTCACGTGGGTCTCCATATCTGTCTTCCCCACAGACACTCCATCCTCACCATCCATCGACCAGGTGGAACCATACTCTAGCACAGCCCAGGTGCAGTTTGATGAGCCAGAGGCCACAGGTGGGGTTCCCATCCTCAAGTACAAGGCTGAGTGGAGAGCAATGGGCGAGGAAGTGTGGCATTCCAAGTGGTATGATGCCAAAGAAGGTAAGTCGAGAAGAGGCATTGTATCTTTTACAATCATGAATGCCTCATTAATCAGTGTTGGGACACCCTCGCCCTCAGTGTTCACTAGATCCTGGCTGCCTATTTGGGTAGGGTGGTACACACCAATTTCACCTACAGGAGGATGCCAGATGCCACCACCTGAAATGCCATTACCGTCCCTCTAGAATTAGGTCATGGTCACATCTCCATGTAGAGTTGGGCTTCTGCCCCCTAGTGCTTCAGAACATGGGTCTCATGTCCCTGCCAGAACCAGAGGAAGCCATCTAAGCCACGTTCCATGCAGAAGCCCTGTTTAGGTGCTGAGCACATTAGATGTGTTCAGTCCACCTCCTACTCTGCATATTTGGATTACCCGTGCTGCTGGTCCTCACTGGCACCCAGCCAGTCCTGCTTTAAGTCAGTTCTTAAATCAACCCTATGGTTGATTTCCAAGCCAAAGATTAAAAAAGAAAAAAAAACAAACCTTTGAATGAATGCAATTTGAAGATTCTGAGCCATACTACCTTTCCCCAAGGACTGAGTATATTTGTGTTTAACCTCCCCATTTTTGGGTTTCATATCCCTGGGTGATGCAAACGGTTAATGTGCTCGGCTACTAAGTGAAAGACTGGAGGTTCAAGTCCACCCAGAGGTGCCTGGGAAGAAAGACCTGGCAATCTACTTCCGAAAAATCAGCAGCCGTTGAAAACCCTGTGGAGCACGGTTCTACCCCGACACACATGGGATCGCCATGAATCAGAATGGACTCAACAGCAACTGGTTTTGGGTTTTATTGGAATCATTTAGTGAAGTGTGATTTGTTTCTGTAGAAATTTTTAATCCTGGTCTGATAGGTGGTAACTAGGGTGGAACTGGGAGTGGGATGGAACATCAGTGTCACAGCCATTCAGAGACGTCGTCTAACCCAGATTTACTGAGAATTAGTTCCTCCAGAAAGCATCTACTACTCCTTCAGCTTCGGGGGACAAGGAGGTTGGAGGGCATTAGATTAGAGCTAGAAGAAAACAATCCATTTGCCTTCCTAACTCCTCTCTGAAATCTCATCCCAATTTACAAAGGCAAGTCAATTCCATGTTATGGTTTGTCCACTCGGCTTTTCACTCTTTTATGATCCTCCCCCATGTTCCCACAACAGCCAGCATGGAGGGCATTGTCACCATCGTGGGTCTGAAGCCAGAGACGACGTATGCTGTTCGGTTGGCAGCCCTCAATGGCAAGGGCCTGGGCGAGATCAGCACGGCCTCTGAGTTCAAGACACAGCCAGTCCGTAAGTAGAGCCAGCTGCCCTGCCTCCGCCCCACGCCCACCCTCTCCTCCTGGGGTGGTGAGGGACCCTGAGCTGACTTGACTCACTGTTCAGACAACAGCTTTTTCTCTTTCAGATGCCCCTGCTCACGGTGTCCTCACATCCTAGCTCTCTGGCTCTTAGTGGCTGCTGATGCCCGTCCGTTTATCCTCTGTCTCTCTGAGAGGCTGGTGACACTGTCACAGTAGCTGGTACAGCTCATTAGATTAACAGCCAGGGAGAAAAATCAGCAACACGTTATTAAAGAAAACAGAGAGGGAAATAGCAGTGCGTTGTGGAGGGATTTGGGAGATACTCTTTATGACACGGTCACAAAGGTCCCAGGTACCCTGTGACTTGAAGAAAGCGGTAAGGACAGTGACAGCCACAGCCACATAATTAGTTGTGGGATTTTTGATACAGCAGAGATAATAAGTTATAGAAAAACAGAGACTGCTGTAGCATCTATGAGCAGGAGCAAAAACACAGCAACAGAAAAGGCAGAAGAACAGTTACGGCTTTTGACTTTTTTTCGACTTTTTTTCTGCCCCACCTCCCCAGCCCACACCAGGAGCACACAGGGGTCTCCCTCCAATGCAGCCTCTTTCAGGAGGGGCACCTCTTCCTGATTCTTTTCAGAGCTGCATCTCCGTTTTCCTCCATCTTGCCTTCTTTCCTTAAACTCAGCCTGCCATACTGTGCCCTTCCTTCTCACGAATAGCCAAGTTGTGGGCAAGCCTGGCTGTAGTCACATCCGTCTACAGACCCAAGCTGCAGCCCGGGGAGGCTCCAGGTTCCCTCCAGCTAAAGAAAGTGTTGGAAGCATTAGACTCCTTGGCTGGTCACAGAATTCCCTGGGCTCTCTTTGACCCTTGGAATTAGAAAACCCACAGGGGGATCCTTTGCTTCCTTCTCTTTGGAGCCAGGGATCTGCAAAGTGACCCCATACCTCTTGCCAGAAATAGGAAGCCTGCCTTGTCTTCCCTCTACAGGATTTGCTTCTTTCTGGATTTGAAATAATTTGATAATTTGAGTTTCTAGCTCCATGAGCTCTGCGGATTCTATTCATTTCTTTTACATCTTATTTTTTTCTCTTGGATCTGTCTCTTGTCTTTTCTTTTCGTCTGTGTTCCATCCATGGGAAATGCAGATAGCCCTCCACGTAAGTGCCTCTCCTACCTCATTGCCTGTTTCCATAGTGTTAACATTTCCTAGTCGTAGTTCTTAATTTAGTTGCAGTCTCTTCTTTGTCCCCTAGCGGCTGAAGTAGATGATACTGTCTGGGCCTTAACCACACTGACCTTAGTCTAGTTTTACTCTTGTTAATGTCTGTAGGTGACTCCGAGAGGCTAACACTCTTCCTCTTTTAGAGCATGCAACTTCTGTGTCTTTTTGAAATTGTATGTATTTATGACTTGGCGTGTGTAATGATCACCCTGTGGCAAAGAGGATGTTTGCTGAGCCAAGCATGGTGGACGTCTGCGTATGGGCCCTGAATAACAAGCTATAGAACTACCTCACCATTAGCTAGAATTCCATAAAAGTGTACCACAGCCTTACCAGGCCTATATTCAGAATCCCTTCAAGGGAAAAAGAACCTGAGAGGATTTCCATGTTAGCTTTTAGGAGACAAAGGAATTGAGCTTCTTGCTCCCCTCCTTTTCTGCCTGTCAGGTTGGTAGCTGGTGGGCATTTGGAGGACTGATTGGGGAGCCCCATGCGGCAGCTGCAGCCATGAAGGGCTAGCATGACCCTGGGTTACAAGTCATAGACACATCTTGCAGGCAGCTGTTGGGGAGTTAAACTCTTGGTTCCAACCAGCTCTGTACTTTGGCACCAGGTTTCTTGCAATGTGCATTTCCATGTTTGGAAAAGACTGACCAACTTCACTAGTGAATCTACTGTGGGGCATGGAGAGAGGGGGAGATCCTACACTGGAAGAACACCCAATGGTGTGGGCTGGAAATAGAGGGCACAGGGAGCCAGGTTAGCAGCAAACTGGCCTCTGCTGGAGAGAGCAGATCTGTGGTTCAACCTCCTCGGCCTGCATAGATGACCCCAAGCTTCCCTTCAGCTGAGGCTTAGCTCTTTGCTCCCAGCCTAAGCTCAGAGAATAGTGGAGGGACGTGTCGTTACTCAGACAGACTCCAAAGAAAAGGTATTCAGGAAGCTGCACACTCTAATAAAAAGCTCCTAGTTCCTGAAAGGCACTCAGGGAAGCTTATCTCTTTAAAATTTATTCAGGAATATTGCAGCCACAGCAAAATCTAAGCAACTAAGTCTAGGCATTTGGAGATTTTGAGCAAGTGCTAAATCCACTACCTCAGCAGAGTTGGTTCCTGAATGACGTGGTTCTGGAAGGAACCCTAGCAGAGATATGGGGTTATCAGGTAGGACTGACCGCTGTCTGCTCTGGGCTGGCAGTGGTGCCCGTAGTAAGCTCTGAAGGAACAGCTCTGAGCAAAGAGCACCTTCCTCCAGGCAGTGAGCCTAATGAGCAGCTGATCCTTAAACCGAGTCCTCAGGCTTCCTATCTTCTGGATTTTGTCAGTAGGTGAGTGCTGGCTTAGATACATAAAACAGAGGAAGGCTGGGATGAGGCCTTCTCTGGAGTTTCTAACCAGTAACTGGAGTTCAAGCACTGAATCAGAGTAACCGGCTCTTGGGCTCCAGAGGCCACAGTGGTTTTCATTCATTGCCAGCTCAGCTTTTGTAAAGGTGAGGGTTTTTATAGCAGATGATATGTTTTTAAAAGTCAGTATTTAATTAAAAAAAAAAAAAAAAAGGCATCTAAACCCTTGTTGTTTTTTGTCTGGTTATATGAAAACAGATCATTGACCAAGACGGCAAGAAGCCTTTGAAAATGGTGGGTCAGGTCTCCATTCCAAGCAGATCATGAAAATACTATGGCAGCTGGCATTGCTAGTGGCAGGAAAAGTCAATTCTGTCAATCATGTGATAAAGTTATAGTTCAAAGAATTTAAAAGCAAACTTCTTTTAGATATGGAGAACTGTGGAAGAGTCTTGGAGTTGAGTGTGCCTTTTTCAAGAACTCCAGGAGGATAAAAGGTGGCACACACATGAGAATGTGTGGGAACATCATATTTTCACTGAAGATACATTGTTATTGTCTTTCCCTGCACCCTCATAACCTTCCTAGAGCTGCTGAAGTGAGGGTCTACCCAAGGGGTATCCCGCTGCCCCTAGACCTGTCCTATAAAAAGATACAGTTGAAACGATGACTCCAGCTTTCACTACTGCTGAGATGAAACCCACTGACTGCTGTAAGACAAATGTTAGGAAGAACCTCCTCAGAGTTCTCACCTCCATTCCTTGGAAGACACAAAGGTTGTCTGAACTTAGGTGAACAAAATCAGCCATCAGTTGAGCTGCGTTCCTACCCCAAGCCCAAGACCAGTGGTGCTGGTTGATGACATGGGCCATCCTACCCTCTGGCAGTGCATTTTTATCCTGCTGGGGTGCAGAGGCAGGGCCTGTCCCATGACACTGGAGTTAGGCCCTTGAGAGCACCGTGAGCCCCAAGGAAGAGAAGGCACAGAGCAAGCAGGAGCTGACATACTGGAAAGACCATCTGTTGCTCTCAGACCCCTGGATTGAGAAGGGTTAGGTGAGGACCAGCACGTTGGGCAGTAGTCCATCCCATTTTCAGTGTTGAAGAGGTAATGGAGATGTCCCAGTAATGGAGTTGCTTTCTTGGTTCCTTAGTAGACTTCTCCAGGTTCATAGGCATGAATATACCAAAGCAGGGATGAGCAGGCGAAACTAGCTAAGGCCCCAAATACCTAAAGGACTCCAGCTTCCTGAGCTTCCAGATCAGAAAGCATGGGTTGGCTATTTGGAGGTTCCTTTGTGTGCACTTGATAAATGTGTGTGAAGGTAATGAGGAAGCTATGACTCAGAACAAACAAATAACAACTCTAACTTGTCCCCGTTTCTTGTGTTTTTAACCCAAATGCCTGTGTGCTGTCAGGATACTCTGAGATGGAAAGCTCATGCCCTCTGTTTGACTTGGGAGGGGCTGCTTGCCTATGAGAGCTGCTAAGAGAGAAAAGAGACAATGCTACAATTTATTATTAAATCTTTTCCTCCAGGATTGAGCCACTAACCTTTAGAATTTAATTACCTGAATGTTGCCTCTTAACTTACTTCTGTGCCATGAAACAAAATGGTCATTTTTTCCAGGGTATAGAGATGATGCATGTCTCTACTTTTAAAAAGAAGCACCTTGACATTTTTTGTTTTTACATTTTGCCTCCTAGATGGCACATTGCAAGCATAAGTTAAATGCATTATATACATCAATGCACATACAACTTCATTCTTTTACCAGAAAAATTATGCAAATAATTCAAACAATTATGCAAACAATTCAAGCCAGAAGAGTAAGAGACAGAGAAACTTCTACCTGAATTAACCAGACCATGAAATCATGAAGCATTAGCAGCCTACCTTGCTTTGACTTTAGTGACACTATCCTCTTGTGGTTTATTGAGGTGCCCTCATCTAGAAGGCAAAAAGAAGGCCAAACCATGAGCCTCAAGGCGGTGTTGGCCTTTTGGTTCTGTTTCTCCAAATTTTCGTCTAACTCATGATGGAGACCTTGTTTCGTGATTGTCAGTGGGACAACTTCTGAGTATTTGCCAGTGAAAAACTCATGATCCACTCAGCATTGCAATGTCCCTGCAGAAAGTTGGTCAGTATTACTTGGTTAGCCCCAGCCTCTTCAGCATGCCCTTTCTCTGTGGGAGCGAGGATATCACTGAACATTATTAGCATCGCTCTTCACATGCACAATCACACAGCAGCATCCAAGTAAGCACGTTTAACCCGTTGCCGTCGAGTCAATTCCGACTCATAACAACCCTATAGGACAGAGTCGAACTGCCCGAAAGAGTTTCCAAGGAGCAGCTGGTGGATTCAAACTGCCAACCTTTTGGTTAGCAGCCAAGCTCTTAACCACT